TAAACAATACCTAAACATAATTTCACGAAGGCACCAATCTTTTTGGATTTTATATTTCTACTCAATATTGTTTCTATCATAATACTTGTTTTTAAATAATTTCAGTTTCCACGAGTTAAATTTTTATATTTAAATGAAATGAAATTAACACTTTTTAGTCTACAAGTGTATAATTTTGAATTTGTAGTTGTGCCTATATCATCATACTAAACAGCTCAATTCAAATTTCAAAATAATATAACGTTATTTTAAATTAATAATTCCCTATTTAATTTTTCTATACCTAACAATAACGCGTATAATAGGTACATATTTTCTATGTAGGTAATGTCAATAAATTTAATAATTTTTATTAACTCGATAAAATAAAAAAAATATTAGTTTGTTCTTTGTATGATGTTCTATTGAATTATTGTTTATGAGTGACTTAATTATTTCATATAAAAAAAATACTTTTTCCTCCTGTACCATTAATACATTCATACTACTCAGTATTAATATTGTTTCTTGTTTGTATATATCATTTATCAATTAATGTATGCCATCAAGTACCTATAATATAATAATACAATGTAATGTAATAATAAAATTTATGTTTCCTATTAATCATCTATAATACAACTAGGTATATAAAATACATTAGTATTGTAGTTAAGAAAATTTATTTAAAAGGAACTAAACGGGGAACTAAAGGTCTTGGTGTAAATTATACATAAAACGTCCCACGTCCTACATTTATTATAAACACATATTTTATACCTAGTATGTTGGATGCAGCATTATAACAGTAGGTAAAATTACCTGCTTTATATACTATATAACAAATATTTATAGCTGTAAACATATTTTTAATTTAATACGAACGTTAGTTATATAATATAATTAGTTAATGGATTGACAGTGATTTTAAATTCATGAATAAATATGAACAATTTGGTAGTATATTATCCGGGAAGTAGGCTGGTAGTGACTAGTGATGGCTAGTTGGCCGTGGAAATGTGGAATTAGTGTATGTTTGACTATGATAGTAATTGGTAGTACCGTAGAGGTTCCAAGGCATGTGCAGGGTTAACAGGCATAGGAATGTATAAGGAAGACGACGTTTTAGACAGTGACACAGAGTTAGTTATACCATTTTATTTTATTGTTTAGTGTTCGAGGCGAGCATTTTTATGCACAGAACCGCAATATTTCATCCTTTATATAGGATAACCGATGAGGCGATGGTGTGTGGCCTCCTCAGCTTAGTTACGAGTGCTCTTCACCAACACTTGACGCGAGTAATGTATGACTTCGTATGTCGGTGAGTAGCTATGATAATGGGGTGGACCATAGTTCGTTTTGTGTGAATTTCTATTGAAACCCGATGACAGAATAGTTATGAAGTATTATAAATAATATCAGTATTGTTGATTTTGTGCCGAGGTCCACAAGAAATAATAGCAATGGCAATTTGATCTTCTAAATATTTGCAACATTCGTCCAACTCTATGGATTAGTTCAGCTAGATAATCTGAAATATTATAGTTAAGCGTTATATAATATCATGATAGTTCTTAACTATAACCCGTAACCCGTGAGGTTAGTTTGATCTATTTCGTTCGGATCAGTGGCATAGAAGTCCCAAAAAGTGCACCTATGTTGTTAAAACTAAATCCTCTCGGCTATATATTATATTGAACCACTCACCCAACATAGACCATCCTACACATTCTGCAATAATGCATATAATATGATAGTATAAATATTAAATACTGTGAACATATTTTATTTTTTTCTGGGCCCTATTAGGCTATTACCAATTTACCCATGCGCACACCCCATCAAAATATGATAATATGTTGCTGCCGCAAGTCGCAACAAGTACCTATACGTACGCGGATCGGCGCCACTGTTTCAGATACTCGATAATTTTCTTAAAATTGCGATAACTACCCCCCTGGGTATTGTTATTTATGATTTCGAGATTTTTTTCTCACGGAATACAGTATTATAGGCGTAAAACAATGCGTTTTAACCTGATTCTTCATCGACTGGTAAAAGACAGCGTAACGGTTCGGACAACTGAATGTTTTATTTGGGTTTTTATTATCTGGTCTTGGAGAAATAGACGCAGAGGATGAATGGAATTTTGATTTGTCAAGGTCTTGTTTTAGCTTGCCTTCTACTACTTCCATACCATTATACCAAACGGCAAACATACTATTTCGACTTTCGAGCAGCGAGCCATGGTGAATATCGAGTAGACAAAAGCGCGTGACAGTCTACAGATAACAAACTAATGTGAGCTTATTGACAGCGATAGACCAGCTCTGGTTTATGCACTTACTAAAGTATACTGTGTAAAACACAAGGTACGGCTTGGATATTATTGTATATTGATACATTACATTATTTTGTGTGTACCTATTATATAAATAAATCAGTTTCAAAAAATACAATAATACGATATATACTTAATAGTGCGTATTATAATATAGTAGGTACCTATACTTACATTATTATTATAAAGTGTTGTGATATTTTTAAAGTATACAGTTTAAAAAAAAAGCGCACTGTTGTGTTCCATTGGACATTTTGATTATTTAAATATATTTAGATGACAATTATAGTAATAAACTTTGATCAAAATGAAAACAAATACTTAATGTTACTGAGTTAGATAGGTCTCAAAAGTTATTATAGTTGCATATTTTTCTAAATGTGATCCTAAATAGCACACCAAGCAAAAAATCCATTCAATATTTGAAAACAATGACGAGTTTTATATTTTTGACAATTTCGTAAAATGCAAATAAAAGTTTCATACAGGTACCTATTTCTAAATTGTATACCATATTATATAATATATTATTTTGATGCATATGCATAATATTTTCTTGTATTATCTATGTATTGTATACTGCATTATGAACATAAATAGGTATTTTTATTTTCTTAAAATTTAAACAAACAAGCAAAAAGCGCAATTTTTCTAGTGGAATTAGTTTTGTTTTTATTATTTTTTTTGTCCAACCAATTTTCGACAAAAATGTCATTATTATCGTACTTATATTTTCTATACTAATATGCTATTATGCATCTTGCATACATGTGTAGGTACCTACCTACTATATTAGCATGCATATTTTATCGATTTTAACTTCTATAACTCTCGAGCCTTACGTTACGTATGATAATTTGTGCCAGAATTGCAAAATTATTGTAATTAAAAATATAATATTAACGGCATAACAGATAAGTAAATTTGTTTAGTTCGCGCGCCTTTATTTTTATGAATAATAAATTACTAATTAATTAATAAATTGCATCATCATTATTTTTCTAAAAATTAATAAAGGTTAAATAAATAATACCATACTTAATCAAATTTAAAATGCATATAAATAATTTTTTTTGAGGATATCATTTTTATAAATTCAGGTATACATACCTACCTATAATCTATATAATCTATAGAAATTATAATATTTATTATGTTCTTCTGTACAGTCCTGGTAATTACCATAGTATATTAGTGATATTACAAAAGAATACAAATAACAACTATTAACAAGCGACATCATTACCACAACGATATACTAATAACCGTAATAAGTTATAAATTATTTTATCTTTTTTCATTTCCGTACACATCTATGTAATATATTATATATAACAAAAATATATATTATACACGTTGTTGATGGACGTTGCGGGTTTGGTATCTAACCAGTAACCACCACCAATATGTTGTACAAATACAATTAAATCACGAATATAATATATATACATACTGTACTGTGTACATTCAAATATTGTACACATCCACACACGAGGATATTACGTATCCTATGAGTTATCTAATATATTTAAAAAAAACTCTAAAATTGTTTACTATTGACTCAGTTATAATATACTTCTTATAAAATAAATATTGAACAATAACATAAAAAGTTTTCATTCATTTGTGGTGAACGTTGTATAGGTATTTGTTGAGTGTATAAAGGAAAAATATGTGATAAATAATCTTTTTTTTTATCAATTCGTATCAAAATATTGAATCGTTGTATTAAACGACCTAATTAATTAATGTACTTGGTTAGGATACCTAGTTGACATTATAATAAAATCGCTTAATATAGCGATATTTGTTTTTAATTTTGTAGCACTTAAAAGTTTGAATTCTTTTAAGTTATTTTCCACATGACCATATTATTACATTCCACCTGTTATTAAGTTTCTTCTCAATTATTGATATAATGGCATATCATAAATATATATTTATTGCTAGGTTTATTGCTAGGTATGTATAATACATTCATACTTATTATACAGGTGTTTTATGTTTATTTATATTTGATGTTCATATAATATATTATTTACCTTCTGAAAATCAAATGTTAAATTAAATATAATTTTACAATTATTTATAATTAATAGGTTCAAATGAGAGCAAACAAGCAAAGGTATACCTAACTAATATTAATATAGCAATAAACTGGTGTATAAAACTCAATGTTTACAACTGTGTTCAGTCAAAAGTACTAGTTTTGTACACAACCGTAGGTGCGTTCCACTCATCCCTTCCTATAAAACGCGTGGTGTTTTTGTTAATAGATAAATACATTTTATACATTCTGTTAGTTGTTTCTATACACTGATTATAATCATGACCGTTGATATAAATAAACATCAAACATATAAACATATGGGTTTTAAGTTTTTGTTTAGCAAAACCGTATGCAGGAGTAAAAAAATGTGCAAAGTTAAACACTGTTTATGTCATTATAAATTAGATAATACCTATAATAATACATTATATTGCACAAATGAATAGTTAAAACAATTTTTAAAGTGCCATTAAACTGAGCTAGGTACTATTTTGCATTTTATCGAACATTTTCAAATTTCAATATTTTATTACCTTTGTTAATTACTTATGAAAAATTGCTGTTCGTGTTTTAATTTAAGACAATTGTTTTAAGTTCAACAGGTTTTCATAAGCTGCTAGAGATACCATGGCAGTCACAAAAATATGCTGTATAGGCGCTGGATATGTGGGTGGGCCAACGTGCAGTGTAATAGCAATGCAGTGTCCTCACATAAAAGTCACGGTTGTAGACATAAGTGCTCATCGTATTTCCCAGTGGAACTCGGAAAAATTGCCCATCTACGAAGTGATTTGAAATATTAAATCGTATTTACATTTTTCATATTTATACTCAACATAATTTAATTTTTTAGCCTGGACTCGATGACATTGTAAAAAAACGGAGAAATGTAAACTTGTTCTTTTCTACAAACATCGAAGAAGCTATCCAAGAAGCAGATTTAATTTTCATTTCTGTTAATACCCCTACAAAGACATTTGGAGTGGGAAAAGTAAGTATCGTGTATATTTACCTGCTAAAAAAAAATACGATTAGGTGTATTATAATACTCTGCTATACCTATATTATATAATAATGATATCAGTATGTGCCTCGTCATTGAGTAGGTCACTGCCATGGGTGTGTATACATTTGAGTTCAATAATTTGAAAACGATACTTAACTGAGACGATATCGTCGGCCTAAGTCGCAAAGGGCGTATGTCCAAAATTAAAAATTTTTCAAGAGAGGAAAAAAACGTTTAAACATTACGTCGGCCTAAGTCCATAATTCGCAAAGGTCGTACCTCCATCGTTTATTATAATGTTATTACAATTCTTAAAGTCATTACATCGGAAATACGACAATTTCTAGTTATCGATTTCATGGAAGATAAAATGATACAATTTCAGTTACGTCTTTATCGTGAGATGTGGTTTTTTTTTCTTAATTTTAATCACCAATAATCCCGAAATCGAAAAAATGGAGTTACGGCCTTTGGCGACTTATAGGCTGACGATTTGTATAAAGATATAATGATATTTTATAGCTTATATTAATTGATTTTGTTTTAGTGACTTTAGAGTAGGTATACAGTGTTGTATGTTGAATTAATAAAAACATTTCATATTTACATTGTACCTATATTAGGAATTAGATAGGTACCATCCCAGTTGTACTTTTTTTGCGCAGAGGACACGCATCTTCTTCACCTCCGGCCTATACCGTAGTTCTCCACTTCTCATTGGTTGATTTTGTTCTATGTTATATATGTATGTATATATGATTGACATCCAATAAGAAGTGGAGAACTACGATAAAGCCGAAGTAAAGAGCGGAGGATGAGTATCTAAATACTGTGATGATACCTATCTAATTTGTCATGGTATTGACTATTATAAGTCTGCAGTTCCTCGATCGTAGAATGGTATATGAATAACATTGTGGTAGTATAGCTCAAAATTAATATAAACGTTTTTAAAATGCACTTGTATACAGAAAATAATAATAATATACGTAATTGTGAAAAGTTTGATGTATCTAAGTTTCAAATGTTTTAAATTGTAAGTTGCAACATAATAAAACTAAAATCGGTATTTTTTGTTGAAGTACCTATCTATAATATAGATAATATAGATTCTATGTTATATTTAATTTTGTCAACATTTGGACTTCAAACGTTTCTAAAAAAAATTATATCCATGTATTTTAAATATTTTTAGAATGAAGTAAGAAAAAGGTATGTTGACCTTTGAATTAGATTTTTAAACTTTTTGTTCGAAAAAAACTATATCATCATTCGTAAAAAAAATACAAAATTCTAAAATGTCAAATGCTCATTACTAAATAGCTTATTAAAGTTGGTCTAAATATTTTTGAATAAAAAAATAATAATTCAAGTAATAATGGTTTAGTTACTAGGTAAGTTCATTAATTTTTGAATAATAATAAAATATAACAATAACCGTTTGAAGAGAAATCGTTATTTTATACAATTCAAATATTCTGTCGTCAAAATTTGAACTTAAAACGCTTAAAATCTATTAGTTACCTACTTAAATAATGTTAACTGAGTATTTTTGATATTTTTAATTGCTATATGAATAACTCAATATAAGACACCTTGTACTCAATTATCAAGCTTTTTGACTTATAAATAAATAATTTATCAACTTAAATCAAAATAAAACAAGAAAAGTAGAACATTTTAAATCTGTAAATAAGTCAAAAACGCTAAAAATCTAATTTTTAAAAGTTATATCACGTCTATAATTAAATATGGATTATGATGTAGATATTGCGTACCCAAGTAGGTTGCGTACCTACCTATAATAGTTTAATTTCCCACAATTTTTTTTCGGAAAGTAGGAACCAATCAAATTTACTTATAGAAACCATCCTAATAAAGTCTGATGCATAATTAATGGTCGCTCGAAAAAAAAAATAATCTAAAGTACAACTTTAGGTTTCATATTTATTACTTATATAATATGGGCTACCTATATTAGATACCTATGTAGGTAATTGTTATTATTTATTTGTGATTTTTGGTGGAATTTCGCATAATATAGGTACAGTCCAAATTTGAAAAAGTATTTGTTGCATTCTAGAAATTTGTTATGAGTCCAAACCAGTGTAAAACTATCTCAATATTATAATTCCGGTGCGGAATAATGTGTTTTTTTTTTACATCAGTTCGAGTGAACTATTCAATTATGCCATTGTAATTATATTATAATATAGTCTTTTTGAAAACAATAGAAAACAAGATAAGGAATTAAGGATGCACACTTGCGCTGCCAACAAGCATCCGCGAATGAGTCTTACTACGTTGGATCGTTTTTCGATAAAAAATAATGCCATCAAATAATCAAAGATATAATGTGCGTAGGTCCACAAAATTTTAATTCACATAGAAAGTAGTAATATTAAATTTATTACAGGCAGTTTTTTTTTGCCAATAGAATAAAGAATTGTAAATTTCAATGATATGTACCTACATTAAAATTGAGAATATAATAGGAATGTTTTGAGTACTTTATACTTTCTATAGACTTATAGAGTAAAAAACATCGTCAGCAAATTTAAAAAAAAAAAATGATTAATAATCCCAACTCAAGTTTGACTTGAATCTCGAATATGCTAATAGTATTGACTATAACAATGTAAGTATATTGTAATAGGACTAAATAGGTTATAGGTATTATATTAAATATAAATATTCTGTTTTAAATTTAAAATGTAGTTCAAACACTTTAGACGTAGGTACCTATCTCATAATTTTTTACATAAAATTATTAAGCAAATGGGGGGCACGTATAGGAGATGAGTATAGATGACGCAGCAATTTAAAATTCTTGTGAGAATATAAACTGTCGTGCTTATAAAATCACTTAGCTTGTACCTACCTATGTGTATTCATTAAAAATATTAAGTCAAAGCAATCATTTCGTCTTAATCATAAAAGAAAAGATAGGTAACAGTACCTATGTTTACAAAACACCAAACATGATTTTATATTAATTCGTTTTTGCCATATTTTATTATAGGGACGTGCTGCTGACTTAATGTACGTTGAAAATTGCGCTAGGACTATTGCCCAAGTCTCAACAAGTGATAAAATTGTAGTGGAAAAAAGTACAGTACCGGTCCGTGCAGCTGAGAGCATTTTAAAAATTTTAAGCGCTAATCACAAGCCTAATGTTAAATTTCAAGTAAGTCAATAAACGTACGTTATATCATACATTTTTAGTACCTATATTATAGGTATTGGAAATAGGCATATTGTATCATACTTACCATTTTACTATAGCTATTTACTTACCTCGGTGATATTGAGTTGAGTCCATGCTACTTTTATGGGTTTGAACTGAGTCCAGCTTATTATCTTAATGTCTTTGAATTGAGTCCGTATAGATAAAATGCCATACCCTCCTATAAGCCGGTGGCGACCTTGAAACTTGCATCTTATATTACACATAATTATTATATTATTTTAAATTAATTGACTGTTTATACTTAATATTACGATTGAAAAAAAAACGGTGTATACAATCACACACATTTTTTTTGGAGATTACTCGGCCAACCTCCACCGTGGTGTGTCCTGGGTAACGCTAATAGGCTGAAGAGTGAAGGGGCTCGAACAACTTAAAAATATTGGTCGGACTCAACTCCGACAACCCAAAAGTATTCGAGGGACTCAATTCAATGTTATCCTTTACCTGGTACGCGTACTAGGTAAATACGTACCTATAGATGATAAATAATACAATAATTTGTTTATCCACTTTCGAAATGTTTTATTTCGTATTTGAGCTGAAATTTGAATGTAACGCCCCGCCGTAAGTTACAACATTGGTTATATAATCAATGTTTATAATAATATTATGTACGTTTGTTAATATTTAGGTATTATCTAACCCCGAGTTCTTGTCTGAAGGCGTGGCTGTTGAAAACCTATTAAATGCAGATAGAGTCCTTATAGGTCACGAAGAGACCGCCGACGGTTTATGGGCTTTCAAGGAGCTCAGCAAAGTATATTTGAACTGGATACCCGAAGAAAAAATCCTCAGGACCAACACTTGGTCTTCGGAACTAACCAAATTGGTAACTTCAAATGGGGTTTTGCATGTGCTACAATAGGTACCTACCCATATGGTAATACTTACCAAAATGCATTGTGTTCACAGGGGGCTAATGCATTTCTAGCTCAGCGGATTTCTAGCATCAACTCATTGTCTGTAATGTGTGAAGTGACCGGTGCAGACGTCAGTGAGGTGGCTAAGGGCATAGGTCTCGATTCCAGAATTGGGCCCAAATTTTTACAAGCGTCAGTTGGTAAATATTGTCACTAATAATCTGGTTTGAGACCTCAAATTTGTTTTTTTTTCAAACTAAAGTGTTTCCTAATGACACAATTATGTTAAAGGTTTCGGTGGCAGTTGTTTCCAAAAAGACCTACTAAATTTAGTTTACATATGTGAATGTTTAAATATTCCACAAGTAGCAGTTTATTGGCAACAAGTAACAATCATTCTATTTATAACTTATTATAACCTACTACCATTATAATAGGTACCTACCCAATGAATAAAATTAATGTGGTTTATTTTCATCTACAGGTACTGGACATGAATGATTATCAAAAATCTAGATTTTCAAATAAAATTATAGAATCATTGTTTAATACAGTCACTGGTAAAAGAATAACTATGTTTGGATTTGCATTTAAAAAAGACACAGGTGATACACGGGAGTCGCCCGCAATACACGTTGCTAAGACGTTACTTGATGAAGGAGCAAATCTTAATATTTATGACCCGAAGGTGAGTTGGAAGAACAATAGTGGTATAGTGAAAGAGGTATAAAATGTGAAATTCTATAAAAGGAAAAAACAACATCTGACGAAGATGCTGTTTTTTTCCTAATGATCAATGTAAAATACCTACCTACACTTATTTATTATTTTCATTATTCACAGTACCTATATACGACTAGGTATTTCATTCTTATTCATAATTAAAATGGATCTTTATCCCTAAAAACCGTAAATTCTTCGATCTCATTAAAATAGGTATTTATAAAAATTATGAACTATATATCATTTATTTCAATTTATGTTTAATAGTTATTTTATAATACATTAATTTGTATAATTGTATCTTCTATCTATGAATCACAATTATAAATTAAATCATTATTACTTATTAGACAAGAAATAAAACGAATAGTAAATAATTGTATATCATGTCGTTTTAAACATAACATGTGAATGTTTTTTAAATAAATTGAACAGAATTTTTTAACAAAATTCCTAGGTTTCATTTATAATATAGTACTATTGGTACAAAATATGTTAATTTAAATAAATCACTGATCTTAGGTGGAACCAGAGCAAATAAAAAAAGATCTCACGCATCCTTACGTTACTGATAATCCAGAAAACGTAATTAAGTCTATTGAAATTCACAATGATCCGTACACAGCTGCAGACTCGACACACGCTATTGTAATATGCACCGAATGGGACGAATTTGTGGTAATTTCTTATAAAATTATTCACAACTAACTGATGTAATTAGTTTAACATTCATTTAAAGTTGAAAAGTATAATATAAAGAAATTTACTTGATTTAATAAGAATTTTATCATATAAAATATAATCCATTTCATTCCAAAACAATTTTTTTTTGTCTATTAGGATATTTACTATTTAATACAAAATATGATGTTTATTTATTTTTTGTTATATTATACATACTCATACATCCGTTTTAAAATGTTTAAAATTCACATAATTGATTCTGACAATTGATCCAAACCTAAAGAAAAATACTTAATTTCTAATGTTTTAGTGTATAATACACACATTCATTCCCAATGAAAAATATTATAATTAATGGTCTACTGCTTTACTCAACTAATAGTTATTTATAATCAACCAATGACCGATGTATTATTGTGTTCTAGAACTTGGATTATGAAAAAATTTATGAACGTATGATAAAACCAGCATTTATTTTTGATGGGCGCAAGATTCTGAACCATGAAGTCTTGGCCACAATTGGTTTTCAAGTTCATACAATTGGAAAACGTTAAATTTGAAAATGTATGGCGTGTATTGTTTTCCATTTAACCATATCAATTAAGTATTCTTGCCACTACCAGAAAATATCAGTAATTACCTATATTAAATATTTATATTTTTTTACATTTATATTTCATATAGTTTATACATAACATTAAACAAATTTTTGATACATTTATACATGACATGGCCTCATACTTAAAATAAGAAATTAATTACTATAAGTAGTAAGGATTTATAAATTTTAATATTATAACCATGTAAAATTAGTACATATCTTACATTTTTATAATTATTATTGTTATACTAATACTCTTATTAATTGCTATTTAAAAAAAAAAAAAAGTTATTATTAATATTTCATAAGGTATGTAGGTACTTATAAAATTAAACTTTCTAACTAACATTTATACCTATAAAATAATTAATTTATGTTTATGTTATTATTACAGTTATAATGTATTACACTACATGTATTTTTATGTATTATTTTTTTTAAGTCTATTATTGTGTACCTATTATAATTTACTTTAATTGTTGTAAGAAAATTACCTATTACATTTTTTTTTTTTAGTTTATGAAAATATATAAATTTTATATTATTTGCACAAGTTATTATATAAAATCTACCTATTATTATTGTTATATCTCAATTCTAACTTGTCTATACTATTTCGTTTCAACCCATAGTAAAGATAAGTACCTAGATTTTGGTTATCTAACTTATAGCATAAGTAATAACATATAATATTTATGTGTGAATTTATTTTTGTCCAAGACCTTAAGACGTATGGGGGATTTTTTTTAGCAACTGTAACAAACTTACATATTATAAAACCATTTACCTATTAAGTCTCTATTGAAAACATACCAGATCCCGGTTACCATAATTATCATGATATTAAAAGTTAGGTATACACTTATATTTATTGCTACACCTGAATTTGTCTGTTTGTGTGTAATGTATATTCAACATTTTCAAACACTTAGGTTTATCAAAGTGAGGTTTTCTGTTGTGCACCAATAAAAATGTTGATACTCAACATTATTTAAAAATTCATCATCAATTAAAATTAATTTGAAAAAATAATTTTATTATTACCATAACACGTGATTTAGTATCAAAATGAAGATATTTTAAAATTTTAATTTTTAGTTTTAAAATTAAAAATTAAAATAAACAAAACTTAGGTAATTATGGTTTAGGTTTCTTCAAGCTTAAAATATTTGACCGAAATAAGTGAATAACAGTAGAATTTTATTAAACTTAATTTAATAGGTAACAATTCAATACATTATTCATAATTTAACAATATTATTATTAATTATAAAAAGGCTATTGTAATTACACTAAGTACGTTTTTTGACTATTACATTTCACTTAAATAATAAACATAAATTAAAATAATTCATTAAAAAATATATGGCACTAAAGTTAGCAACTTTAGAATGATTTTTAAAAATTAGATAATTTATGTATTTAATATGCAAATATTTTAAAATAAAAATACAAGTTCTAATTGTGTTATCACAAGACAATAACCAGTATTTATCACATATGCATTTTCTTATACATTTTTCCCGAAAATTTAAAACTTACAACCCAATTTTGACATTAATATGGCTTATGTATGGGGGTCAAAAAACATGTTTAACGAAAAAATGCAATGTTTTTTGTTGCACTTTCCACGAGGTTAGAAACTCATAGCTTCCTTATAATGGACTCTTGTAAACTATGAATTTAGTAGTTGAAATAAGTATCATAAAAAATATGAATGATCTTATTTTTCATTCTACAAGGGGAAAACTGTATAGATAAATTCATTGTATAAAATTACATATACAAATTCAAACTTATGTCATGGCATTAATAAAACATATTTTGTAAATAAGCTGTAGTAATACCTAATCAGATTAAAATAAAAAATATAACTATATATAATTTTTAACAATTTCATTTTCAACAAGTTAATAGAATTTTAAATAATAATAATTATTACAATATTATAATATTAATTTTATACATAAAAGACATAAATTCTAGTTCTTTGTGATTACAGATACATTTTTTGTTAGACTTAACAAATTACAATAGATTATGATTAAGAAATATAATAAAATTGGTTTTGATTTTTCACAGCCTTATTTTTTTAAAATGCAAAATAATAAGTATATTTAAATAATTAAATTAAATATTCTTATTTGATCAAATATATAGAAATGTATGAGAAAATAAATATTTTCTAAAAAATTATCTTTAAGAGATAAATGTAAGTTTTAATTAAATCTTTTTTAACATAGTTAAATTAAGATTTTCTGGTAATTCTATATCTTCTAGTCTTATATTGGATGGATGAAATGGAAATGTGATTGGGTAAACATACTTAGTATCCATTAATAATTTTTCCTAAAACACAATAAAGGATTAATTCACATAAATTCACTAGATAGGGAGTTAACTATTTTTAAGACAACATAATTATTGGTTATTGGTTACTTTTTAAATATGTGAATCTATTAAAGATATGAGGCTATTAGACAACACAAGTTAACTTAAAAATTGTTAGAGAAAGTATTTCTATTTACTTACCACCTAAACATTACCTTATTCACTAACTAATAAATTTTATATCGTTAAAAAATGTATATTAATTTACATACCTATATGTCTTGATAAAAAACTTAATTTTTAGAACCACTAATATACTTATACCAACTTATATAGTGGACATATATTATAATGTCCTCTGAACATTAAATCAAGTATTAATTACCTTATCTTGGCATTCTGGGCGTTCTTCCAGCTTGTCCTTAACTTTCCTAATGAAATCCATAGATATACGTTCCTCGCAATCATCAGTAGGCTTAAATGATGTCAGAAGTTTAATAATCTAAAAAATTAAAATTATTTATTTTTGTAATAATAATTTATCATAATTTTTAAATGCAGATTAATTTTGTAGATGTATATTGTATCAACATGCGCAACAAATAAGGCGGTAACTCAATTTTCTATAGGGTATCACTGTTTTTCTGGAAGTCCAACGAAGAAGGCAGTAACTATTTTATTGTGTAGAACGTAAGCAATAAAATGCAGTTACTGCCATATTCGTTGGAAAATCCAGAAAAACGGTGATACCATACAGAAAAAAAAAATGTTGAAAAATTGAGTTACTGCCTTATTCGTTGCGTATGTCGATATATAAGTAGGAATATTTATGACTTAGTAGTTAGTATGTGAATTTCAGATATTTGTAATATTCATATTTTTTTTATTGTTAGTTTTAATACATGCACAATAGTCCCTATTTAATAATTTTACTTACAAAGTATTTATAAAATAGAAATTAAAAAAACATAATAATAATGAATATTATACTTTTAAATTATTCAACAGACTTCAACAGCCGAGGATAAAGAATGCATTTTAAAGAAAATAAATACTTACTTGATTTGCATTCATTTTATCACACATTTCACATATACTGTTAACATCATCCTCAGTCTTCCTTGCTTGTAATAGCTGTGATGCTTGAATAATTGGCAATAACGTATTAACAATATCTTGTGGCTACATATATAAATAATACATATTATAATTTACAGCAAATAATTAATGAGAAAAATAATCAATTTACATAAAGTATTTTATCTCTTATCCATTGTTCAATATGTGATAAATTGAATCGAATTTGCATGCCTTTCGCCCAGTAACTCAAATCCTTACGTAATAATAGATTATTTAATGCAGTGGCACACATGAAATAGTAAAGCTAAAATCACAAATTATATATTATTAATAATTTTTATCCAAATATATAAATATATATAAAAAAAATATTACTTGTTTGAATATTTGTACAATAACTTCTTGGTCAATCTCATGAACCAATAATTGACTATACATAGTATTTAACTCATTTTCCAAAGTAATTGTGGTTGGACTAGAAAGTGATTGATTTGATTTTAATGAACCTAAACTACGTCTTATGTTTCTACCAATATCAATGCCAAGTGAGTCATGTTCTAATAGAGCTGGAACTATTAATGTTCTTATCCTCTCTTGCATTTTTATCACTAAATCCTATAATGAAGGATTCAAAATATTGCTTAAGTATAAGAATTTAGTAAAAAAAAAAAAAAAAAACACGTAAATTACGTAATTTTATTTTATTTTTGGTGTTTTAATCAAGGTCTGTTTATATTTTATATAGAAATGGAATGTAAAGATATTTAATTATAAAATATACTGTTTTTTTTTTATTTTTTTTTTTTAATTTGCTCATTCAATTTTATTATGTATATTACTTGGTAAAGTATCACAGCATGATCACTAAATACTTGACGATAATCTGCTAAATCAAAATTTTGTAGTGCTTGAGAGTTTTGTTTAGATGTATTTTCATTAGCAAAAGCTGGTTCTCCACTGTATTGTTTAAGAATATGCACTAGTCTCATTGTGTTTGAAAGCCATAAAATCATGGTGTCTTGATGTTGACGTTTTTTTACTTTTTGTAGGTTTTTTGCCACATTTGTTAAAAATAGTCCAATCTAATTAATAAATAATAATAAAATGTTAATACTTTAATCAGAAGAAAAAAGTACTTACACATCAAAATACTTACTCGTTTCTCTTCTTTTGTGAAATCATAGTAACGTATACACATGAACAAAATATATGCTGGCAAACCTGGTAATAACTTCAATGCGGTTTCAGGTCTTAACTCTATAATAAATAATATAATTTAAGATAATGATATTATTTAAAATGTTCATAGATTACCAATAATTAAATTTCGGGCTACAACTGGATCATCTTCTATGGAGCATTCAAACATTCCCATAAATTCTGAACGATTTTTTTTTTTAGCTATAACTGTTCCATCATTGTTAGAAATAGTTGTGCTATTGGCAAAATCTTCATTGTCTAATACTACATCTAAGTGCACAAATATTAAACAAAATAAAATAAATAGGTTATTTAAAAATTTAATTATAACATTTTACCAAA